GACGGTTTGTCTCTGAGTGAAAGATTATGTTCGTACGATGACACACTCGTAAACAAGAGCTAACCCCCCCCCCCCACACACACCAAACCAGGATACTGGGTGAGGGGAGGATTTACACAGCTAATAATAAACTGGATATATTTCCAGTGTAGGAATTCTGCACGGGACCTATTTATAATGTGATGTATCCATCAGGGTTTAATGCCAAACCAGTGTTAGAATACCAGCGCACACACACACACACACACACACACACACACACACACACACACACACACACTCATCACCTCTCAACTGGTGACAAATATGAAAGAAGGAGTTTGTGACTGAGCAGCGAGCAGCAGCTGAAATAGACACGAGACTTATTTTTATGAACATTTGTATTCGGTGTCATTACAACATGATCTTGCTGCTGAGCTGTCAGCGAGGTCGTCACCGACTTCTTCACTGCACCAAAATAACCAAACCGGATTTATGAGAGTCACCATCAAATGAGAGATATGGTTCCGCCTGAGAAAACCTCGGACAGTCGTCATGCTACAGACGAGGGACCAGAAGGACCACCTTCAGATTCAGATCCGCCTCCTGCTGTCGGAGCAGCAGAATGTGAAAGCGGCGCTGCAGTAACTTCAGAGCGTCCGAAACAGTTTCTCCCTTTTACCGTCTATTTCCATCCCAAGGTCAGAGTCACAAATAACTCGCAGCTATGAAGTCGCTCCCTGAGGAGCAGGAGGGTCAGTGGACGTCTCGGTTCCAGAAAAAGTTCACCTCCTGGTTTTATTCACTGTGGTCGAGTCAAAAATGTCTTTAATTAAAATTAAAGCTCTAGACTCGAACAACAACATGGACAGTGAGCGACTGTGGTCCAGGGAGAGCGGTCGTCCTCTAACCAGAGGCGGCGGTTCGACCCCAGTCGTCCCTGTTCCAGGTGCTGAAGTGAAAATATCTAAAAACAGACAATTAACAATGATGCAGAGCAAACGTCGTCCACAGACACATTATTCTTTATGATGGAGTCACATGTGAGTCTGCACATTTACATGATCTTAGTTTTTGCTTCATGCTGCAGGTTTGACTCCAGGTGACACCCCCCCCCCCCCCCCCCCCCCGTGACTTTTGGGACAGTTGAGATCTGGAGACGTTTCAGTGAAGGTTTCTAGTTTCCTGTCGAGGAGTTTGTGAACTTGGTGGAAGGAAGAATCCATTAAACGTTGGTGCGGACTGAACTGAGATCAGCATGTGAGCATCGTCATAGTGACTAGCATACAGTCATCGGTGTTTTACCCACAATGCCTCTGTGTTCCCAGCTTCTCCTGACAATCATAAACCAGCATTGAGACACATTTAGTCTGGCCCCTGACATCATGGCTTCTGATCGGTGAGTTCATGTTACCGTCAGACGTCGTCACCTTCAGAGCACGAGTGATACTTTGCTCTGTAACGTGCAGAATGCAGTTTGAGCACATTTACGAGCCGGAGAGGCGTGTCCTCACATCGAGTTACCCGCCGCCGCCCGTCAGTCACCACGCTGACCTTTGACCTTGATCTGTGATCGGCTGCGCTGCCCCCGAGAGGATGTTTGGACACATGTCTATTTATTCCTCTGCCACCACGGACCTGTCTCCTCTCAGTGATGTCACTGCATGTCTGTGGACACATGCTGGACATGATGAGACGCTGACAAAGATTGTCTGTGTGAGAAGATGAGTCACTCCTCTCCTGTTTCTCTTGAAAACATGATTCTCCTCAAATATTTGTTTTTCTTTTCTCAGCGTTTAATAGAAATGAAAAAAGAAAAGATCATGTGACTCGAGCTGCAGGGAGTTTGATGTATTTTAAATTTTTTCATCGAAGATTCAAACCAATCAAAAGTCTCACGACGCTCGTTTCGGACAGTTTTTGTGAATAAAGTTATTATTGTAATCGGACATTCTCCGACAGTGGCGGCACCTGATCGTGATGTCACAAGCTACATGAGATCATTTTCCACCAATCAGGAGCCAGAGAAGGGAGACATCAGGTTTACGTCACTTTTTTCTTTTGCTTTTCGGAGTTTTATCTGAAATTAACTTAAATTAAATACTTAACTTATCTTAAATGGATAAATATTGCGATAGTGTTGGATGAGTATAATCACAGAACTGAGAAAAACACATGATAACAAACTAACAGACGCAGCTGAACAGAACGATGGCGTCCGTCGTTCTGAAGCTGAGCGAAGATCCAGTTCTTCAAGGAAGTCTGAGGTCAGGGTGCTGAGGGGGATGCAGCACCTCCTACTGGCATGGGGGTGAACTGCAATACAAAAGGTTTCCTTGTAAAGTTTGGTTATTTCATTTATTTAATAATATCGATGAGAGCAGCTTGTTCTTGTACAGTGGAATTTAATCTCTAGAGCATGAAGTGTGTTTTCTGTAGCGTCATTAGAAAGACGTTCTCTCACACATCAGTTATAAAGGTTCAAAATATGAGCGAGGCGAAATCACACTGAACCAAATGAAAGCAAATGTAATTCTTTCATTTGTTAATGTTTCATCTCAGACGCCATCAGAGCTGATGTAGTGAAGCGTCTTTCCTCACGTCAATCTTTGTGCTGCTGCTCGAACCATGCGTGTGTGTGTGTGTGTGTGTGTGTGTGTGTGTGTGTGTGT